AAATCCTCGTCTCCCTAACATTTGACAATTATGACTGGCACTAAAGTAACAAGGCTAGATTAGAAGGATAAAAGGGCTACTAGATTCTATTGCAACCCATGACATAAAAGTGAATTTAGATAAAAATTCGGCTAAAAAAGCTACCTAATAAAGCATTCTACAAAAATCATAATTAAAAAATTTCAAAACAATCAACACCTGACCGAATTCTCAAAACTGATTCATTTCTACTAATGACTGGCCCAATCTGATCTGCAAGATTTGGCTTAAAGGAATGAAAGAAGAACGTCATACAATATTGCGAATATCCTTTACTAACCGTGGTGTGTAGGCACCAATTGGAATGGCAGCAACATCGATAGGACCATATCGCTCTCCAATGTCTTGAAAGACCTCGCAGTACCCCGTATCACCAGCAAACCAAGCGCGATGAGTCGGTCCAACAAAAGTCCAGCTGCCCCACAGGCTCTAAAATTCAAAGCAACAACAGCTATCGGATTATCATAAGGTTTAATCTTGACGTATTCAACCGACCTTGTCGTTGTCAAAAAAGATATTACGGCCAGACCAGTGCTGTGCAGGCGTAAAGATTAGCCTAAGTCCACTGTGTCCAATCGTCCTCTCCTCCCACCACATCGCCTCCCAGATACGTGGACGACGTCTTTCCTTTCCACGGTCAATTGTGGAGGCGACTAAATCTGCACAGCCGATGGGAACGCACCAAATGGTGTCGGGAAAACATTGACTCAATTCTCTGATAGTTGGCAGGTCCAGATGGTCAAAATGGTTGTGCGAGATAACCACAGCATGAATCTTAGGCAACTCGTCAACCTTTCATGGAAGAGAAATGAGTCCTTAAGAAAAAGAACTTTACCTTGCAAGGCATGGGACGATAGCGTTTAGGTCCTATAACAACGCACCGGGAGCCAAAAATTGGATCGCAGAGTATATTGACTCCATCCAGATGAAGGAGAACGGAGGCATGGCCAAGCCAGGTGAGTCGAACCCCACAGTCGGAGTCAAAGCCAACGAAAGGGGGGCCAAAGACAGGCTTGACTACTGGGAGATTTATGTCCAACTCTGCATTGCTGGGAGAGGGCCAAATATCCTCTGAGGGTTTATTGGTAAGGAGGTAGTATGCAGCTTTTATTCTTTTCTCATTCCATGAATCCCAAGGATTGACATATCGACCCCACCGATTGTGTTTTATTGGGATAACTCTTCCGGCAGTCTCCATGAGCGATAGGTGATCGACAAAATAAAGGACTACCTTCAGGACTTAAAAGTAGTAAGGTAGATGGTCATTCGTAAATCATGAAAAGGAGCAAGCGATCAACGAAACAACAGATATTCCGAGCTCATCCGAAATAGAGGCCAACCATAGGAAAACTACCAAGAGGCAAAGTTATAAGCATCCATAATTGTAAGAGAAACACTAAACACGAACTAAAATTCCAACCTAAGACTTAATCTCGAAACCACAACAAATATGAGTGTCAAGGCAAAAAGTGCTAAATCTAAACGAAGTTTTGCTTTGGATAAGATTGTGTAAGAAAACGGCTGTAGATCAACGATTATAGGTGGTGTTTTACCGCGTTGTAAATCCCATTCCTATAAAAAATTGTATAATTGATATTGCAAAACTTTATTCCCAAAAGCTAACAATGTAGAAATTCGCACAACAGTACTCATAAGCAAGGAAAGCATTTCAAAATATATTTGCAACAACGGCAAACAGCAGCACGCGACACGAAAATAACTTACACCACTAATGAGTCGACCTTGGCATTAGTAAAGGCACGAAGTTCAGGTAAACATGGATGAACTATAAAAAA